AGTGCTCAGCCTGCTGTTTCCCTCTTTTCGCTTCTTTTAATCGGCTGGGCTGCTGTGTCTCCGGTTCCGATCATTATGGGTGTCACAATCTTCTTCTTCTGCCATTGGTTTTCAGGGGGTTCTTCTTCCAGCCTCCAGGATTGCGGCACCTCCCCAAGACCTCCGTGTCTTCCCCTTTCTTTTACCTATCCCTCTGGGGTCTGACAAAAAGCCACCAACTAGCAAAAATCAGAATCTTTCAGAGCAGCAATCCACTCCTCAGCTCCGCACCGACACAGCGCCCAACCAGAAGTCCGGCTGAACTTTTCTACCTCCCTTCTCAGCGGAGCTGCTCGAAAGGAAGCTGCCGCAGTCTGTCCCTTTAAGGCACTTCGATGCGGGGGAGGGGGAACCATAAAGAGATAGGCCGCAGGAGCTGCCTTTCGAGCAGCTTCGCTACAAAGGGAGGCAGAAAAGTTCAGCCAAGTCTCTTCCTCCTTCTCAGGCATACACACAGAGCGTGCACACATCTCATGGCAGAGGGACTTTATGTGAGAAGATGGCGCGTGGTCGAGTTCCTCCAGCGCCATGAGATGTGTGCCTGTTTGCTCTGTGTGTATGAGGATGAGGAGGAGAGAAGCAGCCAGGTTTAACGCTAGAGGACTTGGCTGAACTTTTCTGCCTCCCTTCTCAGCGGAGCTGCTCAGAAGGCAGCTGCTGCAGTCTGTCCCTTTAAGGTACTTCGACATGGGGGGAACGGGGACCATAAAGTGACAGGCTGCAGGAGCTGCCTTCTGAGCAGCTCTGCTGCGGAGGGAGGCAGAAAATTTTGGCCAAGTCTTCTCCTTCTTCTCGAGCATACATGCAGAGACGTGCACACATCTCATGGCAGAGGGACCTTCTGTGAGGAGATGGTGCATGGGCGAGTTCCTCTGGTGTCATGAGATGTATGCTTTTTTGCTCTATGTGTATGAAGCCAAGAAGGAGGAGAGAAGCAGCCAGGTTGAATGCTGTGGCAGAGAAGCAGCCAGGTTGAAAGCTAGAAGACTTGGCTGAATTTTTCTACCGGTTCTGTGGGCATGGCTTGGTGGTGGGGGTCATGTGACTGAGTGGCCCACTCAATGTCACTCACAGTAAGGTGCCACCCTACTTTTTTATGAGTGATGTAGTTGGCCACGCCCACTCAGTCACATGACACCACCACCCTGCCATGCCCACCAAGCCATGCCCAGAGAACCAGCAGTAAGAAAAATTTGAATCCCACCACTGATTCACTTCCATTACCGTTCTCTCAATTATAACTACCAAATTTCATAAAAATGAATGAGAATTATGCAGAATATAATCATTAACTTGGTTTTTCAAAATATGAATTCTTTCTCTGGTTAAGAACAACAACACTTATTAACACTATGGTCTTTTCCTTACTCACATATTCTCTTAAAGTGTGGAATATAAGAAACAGGCTCTATTACTATTCAGGATGTGTCTGCCAAGGGCTTTTAGGATTAAGATTAACAATGCAGAAAGCATATCTGAGAAAACCTCAAATACATTTTAGATCAATGTGCAAGGGGCATATACTCTGTTATTTTCTTATTATTCACTTGCAAAAGTCATCTTTATGTTTCCAACAGGGAATAATAAGAACACTGATTTGGATTTTTTTCAGCTAAAACTTGAATTATCCCATAGAACTGGTCAATATCTGTCAGTTTCTTCCACTATCACTAATAATGTAAATAATAAGACAAAAGCTTGATATACAGGTACTACACTTCATTATCCTCAGGCCAATGCCAGCACTTTTATTACATTTCTATCAATAATTAATTTGGTATTCTGTGATGATTCCTTAGCATGCTCTGAAAGGTATGGAGAAAAATGTTGATTTGTAAATGAAAAAGAATGACACAAACAATGGCCAATGAGAATATTCCTTGAAAATAAGCAATCTTGTGGTAAAGTACAGGTAACCCTCAAGTTATGACAGTTCACTTAATGGCCATTCGAAATTACAAAATAACCCCCAGAGTACTTATAACACAGTCCCGAAGTTACAAATGTTGCACCACCACAGCAGTTGTTCACACTTACAAACGACCATAGAGGCACTCAACATTCACCCTGCCTATTACACCACCACCCCGGGTCTCCACAGCAGCTGGGCCTGTGGAGACTTACTTATCTTGCAACGATCTAATGAGCCATCGGTTCCTTTGCCTGCTTTGGTGCATTTGCGGAGAACAGAGGCTTAAAGTAGTGCAAAATCGTGCAAGATCTCACGCTACTGATCTCGCACTATAGTTCTTTAGGACTGTTTTCTGTGAGGCCTGCAAGAGATCCACGGCAAAAGGTTTTATAAATGGAGGGAAGGCCTCTCCATTTGCAAAATCATTTGCCTTGGATCTCATGCAGACCTCCACTCGCAGAGAACAGTGGCCTAAAGTATTGTAGTGCAAGAGCAGGTGAGGTCAGTTGCTGGTGAACTAAGGCCTGCATCAGATCCACAGAAAGAGTGTCTGCAAGCCGACGAGACTTTGGGGCGGTGAAATTGCATTGCTTCAAGCCTCTGATCAGCTTGCAAATGCTTTCTGCATCTAGGCTGGAACTTCTGGGACCATGATCTCGCATGAGAACACAACCCCCAGAGGTCTCAGCATGAAAAGTGGTTGCAAGCAGATCAGAGGCTTGAAGCAATGTGATTTTGCTGCCCCAAAATTTCACCTGCTTGCAAATGCACCAAGACTGCAAGCAGGCAGAGAGGCTGGAGAGGAAGGAGACAGCTTGCTAGACAGGGGTTGGATTCAAAATTTTAACAACCGGCTCTGTGGGCATGGCTTAGGTGGTGGGTGTGGCTTGGTGATCATGTGACTGGGTGGACATGGCTTGGTGGTAATCTTATTGGCTGGGTGTGGCCAACTCAATGTAACTCACACTGAGGCACGCATCTCCTCGTCTGGCCTCTCATGGCTCTGGGGATGCTGCAACAGTTGTAAGTGTGAAAAATTGTCATAAGTCACTTTTTTCAGTGCCATTGTAACTTTGAATGGTCGTTCCACACAAGCAAAGTACCAGCAAAGGAAGGGAAAAAAATTCCACAGAAGTTCCTGAGACAGGAAGTCTGGTCCTGCCAAGAATGTAATAAGGATTAACAGAGAGGCAGTTTCTGTAAGTAACACCAGAATGTTTCCTTCCTGCCTTCCTTACAGGATTAGGCCAGTAATTTCTTCTGACAACCGGTTCTCCAAACTGCTTAGAATGTTAACAACTGGTTCTCGCGAATAGGTGCGAACTGGTAGAATCCCACCCGTTGCTAGATCATCGTAAGGTAAGTGACCTGTAACGGTAGGATGGAGGGCAGCAATTGTGGGCACCCCAGCGGAGGGAGCATAAGGTATCTCAGTGGGTCAGGGTGTCAAGTCTTGGGTGGTCTGAAGCAGGTGGCTGTTCCATTGCTAGGGCCCCCATGGCCTTCCCCACCCTGAGATACCTCATGTGCACTTAACAAGCCGCACATTTGCTTAGTGAATGTGTGGGTGAAAGCAGGGAATGATCACATTTGTTTGATATGATTCACTCCAACAAATCCTTGGGTTATGAATGTAATTGGCAGGCTCCATTACATCCCTAACTTGAGGATTACCTGTATTGAATTTCACTGTTAACGGAACAAGACAACCTCCTAGTACAATGCTATAGGAGATGGGGAAAGTAGGAACTTTAATTATTTTGAATATGAGTTGAAGGACACTTAATTAAGCATATAGATATTAAGCAGTATTATTCTCTTGCTATTAGAGTTTGCTTTGTGACTTAAACTTATACTGAAAACCATAGAAAAGATTTAAATTGCTTCTATGTCCTTCTAACAATCTTTCATTAGTATTTCATCTTTTAACAACTGATGTTCAATGTTAGTTAAAAGTGTATTTTATGTTAATGGTTATAAAGATATTTTTTTTCAATTCAGAATATATTTGAAGAATTTGACAATATAACCTATGAAAAAATATCTATTTACTTGACACAACACAGACTGTGTTTTTGTCCAGAATGTCTCCTGCAATTTTGAAAGTTAACAAAAATGTGCCATTTCTTACAGAAGCCACCTTTCTCTAAGCTATTTATCACAAAGTTTTGAGAAGAAACAAAATACTGGAGCTAAAATTAAACTGATGACACCTTTGCTCAGATCCCAAGAGTTACTTGGTGTGCGGTTAGGCAAGCCATCATTCAGGCTTGTAGTAATATTTTAACAAACTATTAAAACACACAGATCCTAGTTTTATATCCTAGGGTAACAAATACCGTATTTTTCGGACTGTAAGATGCACTCCCCCCCACCCAAATGAGTGGAAATGTCTGTGCGTCTTATAGAGGGAATATTGCAGCGAGGGGGGGTTGGTGTGGCACTGATCGGCTGTTCTAGGTAGTGGGGATCACTGTCATACCCGTTCGCAGCGATTGGCAGTGAATGGGTCGAATTGAATAGGCCATGGTGAATGGGCTGCAATGAATGGGCTGGGGCAGTGCCAGATAGGCAGCAGAGGCAGATTTTTTTTTCTTGTTTTCCTCCTCTAAAGCTAATGTGTGTCTTATAGTCCAGAGCCTCTTATAGTCCAAAAAATACAGTAATTATATCTAATAAAAATATTCAAAACTAAATTTAAAGTTTAAAATACAATTCCAACCCCCACAAGTAAAATTCTATCCTGGTATGATGAACTCTTCCACATATATGTGAAACAGATTTATTGAAGCCTATATTTACAGTGATAATCTTACCTCATTGTAGCATAGTATCGTGAAATTTTATAAAGAATATGAGATGAAACTAGGAAGTCATAGTGCTTTTCTGGATGAAATAAATATGGGATCATTAACAGATAAAAAATAATAATAAGAGGATTTTTTTTTTTAGTGTCTCAAGCTCAACTCCATAAAGATAGCAGTAATACTCTTCCTTAAATCACAACTGCTGTTCAGTACTACTTGTAATGCAGCCTGGGATAACTCACCGGAAGATGTTGGAGGAACTGGTGGTGGAAAGTCCTCTGTGAAGTTAACATTGCACAAATTGGTACTACAGCAGCAGAAACGGTATGTCCCATTCTGAATCAAGGAAGGAGTGGCTGTTACTATGCATTCTTCAGCATGACACTCTTGGGGGTCTCCAATATGAGTCCAACATCCTAAAATAAATGGCAAATAAAATAGTACACCAGTTTCATTCAGTTCATATTGTGACTCACCTTTTCCAAGGTGAGAGAAAAAGCAGGGTAATTATAGCTGATATATTCAAAGTAAGTCTTCCTACCTTATTCTGCATAAACAACCCTTTTCTACCCAGGAAGAGAAAGAAGACAATATTTCACTGTGCTCCATTCAGAATGCTGAGTGGAGTGCTGCTTCTATGTTTCCAAGGAGAACAAGAACCAAACGCATCATATTTTAAACCATCATTTTAACTCAGAGGTCACCAACCGTGGTCTGTGGACCACTGGTAGTCCGTGAGAAAATTTTGGTGGTCCGCAGCGCACCCGTGTCTGCAACAGGGGTGATACCGGTGGCAGATGGACTGATACGAGTGGGGAGAGTGGGTAGCGTGCAGGAGATTGCGGCATTGGGGCCCTGCCTGGGTGTTCCCTGGCCTGCGAAGGGGTGGGGGAAAGGAACCTCTGAACTGGTGTTGCACCCTGCCTTTGCACATCGAAGAGGCCAAGCGGCTGCCAGCAATGCCCTCAGGTGAAGATGTTGTAAGGGGGTGGCTCGACCCCTACCCTCAGGAGCCGCAAAACCCTCACTGCCCCTCTGGCAGCCTCCAAGTCTCCTCCCACCGTGCTTCTCTTCCTCCTCACCAGAAGTGCTCACACGCCTAGTGGGAAGGAGGAGGCTTGCTGGCTGCCAGAGGGGCGGTGAGGACTGCGGCTCCTGAGGGGAGGGATCGAGCCACCCTCTTACAACATCTTCACTTGAGGGCATCACTGGCAGCCACTCAGCCTCCTCAATGGGCAGAGGTATTAGCTTTTAATAAACCAGGAATCTTAACTTACTAAGCTATAATTTGAACAAGGAACATATATAACATAGCTCCACTCTTTGTACAAGCATATAAGCTTGTTAGAAAGCACAAATTAAAGAACTGAGGTTGGGATTATAATTTTGAATACTGAAATCATCTCTACTAATTGTGATATAATCCAAGGTCCTTATTCCCTGCTTCGTATGTTTTATCCATTTGTGGAAAACAAGAGTAAGTGGAATCATTAAGCATAATAATCTTCATTATATACTTTAATAAATCAGCTTCTGGCTTATGATTACTACAAATTGAACAGTGATTCTTGTACAAGAGCCAAAACTATGAGTAATGTGGGTCTGACTAAAAATTCTCAAAGATCTAGAGCCGTGCTGGTGAACCTGTGGTGTGCAGGAACAGACCCACTGCGCATGCACCTCCCGCCAGCCAGCTGATTGTCGGGTATCTGCCACGCATGCACAAGGCATGCACAGGAGATACATGCACATGCACAGGGTGCAGGGCGTGAACGGGGGTCACGTGAGCATGCACAGGGGGTAAAGGGATTGTGTACATATTTGCATTATTGGTGCAGGCATGTGTGTGCATGCATGCACATTTTCGGCACGCAACGACGAAAAGGTTAGCCATCACTGGTTTAGAGATTGTAGCCTTTAATGTAACAATAAATGAGACAATCCATGTACTATATAATCTATGTAGGGTTTTATTGTTATAAATACTGTGTTATTGTTTCATTTATATCTCACCGGGATATAAAATCTTGGAGTTTAGAACTTGTTCATCTGCTCACGAAAAAGAATGTAGCAGAAAATATCCCAGGAGTCTAGAGGTTATAGGCTTCTGATAGAGGTTTTGGGATAAGCTAACGTTCAACAGCAGCCATTTCTGGGGAATCTCCCATAATAAACTCTATATTTTCCAAATACCTCCTGTGCTAGTAATCCATGGCAGATCTTCATTAAAAATATTACATCCAACCATAGTAGAAAAAATAAAACACCATGATGGTTGAAATTACCTTGTTTCACAAGATGTATTTCTCCTTCTCGAGTTTTCTCCCAGAGACCGTAGCAGGTACTTCCTTTCATACATAAAACTGTACCATTCTCTTGAGGAATCTGACTTTCACTAATTCCATGTTCATTTTGGTAGGAGTCTCTAAAAGCGCATTTTGTCTCTTCACCCTCAGCAACTAAAGAAGAAAATTAAAACTACTATTAAGATTATGCCAAACTTTACAACTAGTCATAGCTGACAAAACAGAAGAGCAATTTTTGTACTTCAGAATTTATCTGTAAAAGGAAGATAATAGGATTCTTAATGAATATCAGTACATTTGAGTGTGCATACAATAATTTTCCTTGGCAATTGGTGTGTGTACATGATTACAATTTCTTTTTATTTATAAATGTTCTATTACTCCCCGAATGGCAATGTTTTGAAGCACATTAAATTGTGAATATGATAAAAAGGATCTTAATTTCCAGTTTCAAATGATGTGTTGAATTACCACTTTGGATCACTACTCAGCTAAAAGATGAAATCCCTTTAGCTTTTGATTGCTTTACTGAAAAAGTGACAAACAACAACTTCTCTTGTATAAAGTACTTGCCAGTGGCACAATACAGGAACACAGAAGGGGGGAAGGGAGAGGAGGGAGGGGGGAGGGAGAGAGAGAGAGAGAGAGAGAGAAAGAGAGAGAGAATATGATGAAGATAAAATACTATATTAAACTATCCCAAACAAAATAGAACACCCCCAAAGATTGAAAATAATCTCACAATGAACTAAAAATGTAAAATAACAAAAGACTTAAATAATTAATCTCTTTTATTTACTATGAATATAAAATCCACTTAAAATAAACACATAGACAAACTACTAAAATAACAAGACTTCAATTTTTCCCAAATATTCATTTGTTAAACAATAAAAGAAACCTGGATCATACAGGTCCATTTTTAAGTTCTATTATATCCTCTGCATTAAAAGCTACAACCAGCATTTGGAAGATGTTTAGACAAAATATATAATTTAGATGCATTGATATGACACATTCTGGAGTAATCCCAGTTTGAAAACTGCAGGCTATTTGTTTTTCAAGTTGTATTAGTCAAGTAGTGTTATTGAAGGTTTAGATCAATTAACTACCAATTATATTCTTAAAGCATTTGAATTACTACAAGAGGAATCTGAATGGCTTAAAATGAAAAGTGGCAGTATATTCAATTAAAACAACTTTTGATTTCACAATGATCCAGACACAACTGAGTTGGAACATGTTGTATTAACAAAACAATGGCTTAAAGAATATTAAATTATAATTTTTAAAAATTATGGATGTTAAGAGAAACAGAGAGAAGGTAGCAAAAAAGACTACACTCCACTGTCAGAAAAGGAGTGCAATCCCAAATTTACAATTCTGGCTCATAAATATGTATTTACTTTGTGTTTACGGGCTTTGTGTACAAGTAGTCAGTCTTCTCTTAATAACTGATACCTTAGTGATCATCTTAAGTTGTGGCAGACCTTCCCCAAAGATACAGTGTTTCTCATATAATAAGGCTGGGTCTTATTTTTTTTTGAGCCCCGAAAAAATGGCTACGCCGTCTTTTTGGGGTTGACTTAATTCCCCCCCTTGCATCTTCGGGCGGGCGGCAACGGCTTGGATGTTGACCTCGGCGTTGGTGGGGCACTTCGTATCGGGGTCAACGCAGGCAGCACCATATCCGGGTGTGCAACAAAAGTACTTCCTAACGGCAAGCCCCCCCACCATTCCCCCCATTTTGCATGTTTTAATATAGACCTTAATTTGGAGGGAGGGGCTTAATTTCATTTCATGCCTATAAAACATGCTGGGACTTCCTATTGGGGGAGGCTGTATTGTTGGAGAAACAGGGTACTTATGACCCAGTCCTAAATTTATAGGTTGCTCACCCTTACAACCAACTGACAGAGAATATTTGTAGCTCAAGGGTTGAAATGAGGAGTGCTTGGTACTCTCTGAACTTCATCATTTTCTTGCAGACATTTCACTATCCAAACTATGCAACATCACCAGTGCTTGTGGGGAGTGATGTTTGTTCTTAATTTATATTTGTCAGTGTTAGT